TATTTTTTTAGGTGACATAGGTTCACCACTACTCTCTTCTTTCTGTTTTTTAGAAACGTACAAACATAAATATATTTGTTGCAGTAAAGCCGTCCTCTAAAAAGTGCCTTGAACAAATGTAATATATTCGTTCAATTTCTAACATTTCAGTCCATTCAAGTACCTCTTACCATAAGTTTCTTCTAATTCGTATTTTAGAACACTAAATATAATAACAATTTAATTTTTTTGAATATTCATATATTATTTTCCTTTTTTCTCCTAAAACGACGCCCATGTTCTTCCTTAATAAATAATATTAACGAGTGAAACGTAACCTCACTTTCTCTTTTATATTTGAAACCACATAAAACACAAGTTTTTTCCTAGTATAAAATAAACCCTACAAAACAAAGTCTCGTTTAACACCACTATACTTGAACAAATTTAAGTAAAAACTTAAATAATTGTCTAAAAATAACTGGAAAAATAAATATAGAGCTAGAGATATTAATCTATTTCTCTCTGATTAGAATCTTTGATGCGATTCTCGACCATATTATCAAGGCGACACAAACATTGTTTACTGTCCTCTCTGTACTACTCTGAGCATATAATAGAGATTTTATAACACATGTCTGATACTTGTAACTTTGGTAATAAAGATACGTTTCTCACATAAAATATTACTTACCTAATACATAGCATATCTACAATTCACTATGGTTTAAACTATGCTCAAGTGATACCTTTAGGATACAAGTAATGCCAAAATAATGGACTTTAAATAAAAGGACAGGCAGATCCTCTATATTATTTATATCTATATTAATGATTTGGATAAGATCTTAAATAAATGTAAAATCCATCTTTTTGCAGATGATTCATTGATTTACTATTATGGTGAGAATTTTAATAAAGTTGTAAATAATGAATGAAAATACATATTTATAGGTAGGTAACAATATGCTCCATAAGCAGTTTATGAATCCAGAGTTAACTGTTAAAATAAATGATAAAATAAATAGAATAGGTAAATGAAATATTTATGGTTTATTGTAGATACTGAGTTGAAATTCTACAGTCACCTAAATTATATTTGTAGAAAGATTGACAAAAAAAATTATTTCCTATTGCGTATATCATATCTCTTAATATCGACTAGGATTACAGTTTATAATACACTTATTATATACCTTATTTTCATTACTGCTGCTCTTTAATATACACAGCATGTTCTAACTCTTCTTTTGAGAGGTTACAGCTTTTTCATTGCTGTATTACAACCAAAATTTGGCTTGAATATCTTGAATGTAAAAGGATTGTTTCTGCATTTGCCAAGTGCGATCAAACTTCAAATTGGAAGAGATTTTTCAAGTGGCTTTACCAAAAACTATACACGTCAATCCAGCCGCTTATTACCACGTTTAGTTTATTTAAAAGTTTATAGGGAAGAAATTGTTTATTATTTTAACTTCCAAACTTCATAAGCGCGGCAAGAAACCATTTCAACTGTCAAGACATGAACTGTCTGTCATATGTCAATATTATTATTTGATCTGATTATACGGTACTTTTCATCGAAAATATCGTTCCATCCATACAATTTGTATAAATGGAACGATATCTTTATAATAAGTGTAGCTCAGTGCAAAGAAATAGAATCTATAACGAGGGCTTCTGTCCATAGTCTTTTTTCATCTCTTGAGGATTAACCGAAGTCTCCTGGTGAGCCTAAAGGAAGGGTGTATTCTATTGTTGCCACCTTTAAAACACCGGATAGTCTGGGTGAAAACCGTACAGGTGGAATCCCTAGTGTATTCGTCTTTGTCGTGTTTGCACTCTTTTTGACGGAACTAATAAAGATAAATTTGTCCTTCAGCAGTTGTCTTGTGAAATACAAATATTATTGTTTAAAATATTCAAAATTAATATTGAATTTTGATATTATTGTAGATTTCTGGTGATTACAGGAATTATATAATTTATTGATATTTCAAAATAATATTTAAAACGAAAGTAGAATACTTATACATTAATTACGATGTTTCTAAAACGGTCTTCAGAAATAATTCCAGAAATGTTTCTTTAGAAACATTATACGGACGTACCATTTATGTCAGAAACATAGAAACATACATCGAACCTAAATGGGATGTTTCTAGCAGATCAGTGTTATTAGGGAAGGTGGGAATCACCAATTTATCGTCTCTAGAATTTTATTTTAAATTGTGATACCTATGTACCCGGACAACACACCAAATCCCAGAGATATCCACAGAATATCTTTTGTGGATATCCAATATATGTACAGGATAGCATAGATATCCCATAAATCTAATATGGATATCCAAATGTCCGTCTATATTCAGGATATAGAGGATATCTTATGGATATCCAGCAAAATATCTAATGAGACAATACACGAAATCCCAGAGATATCCATAGAATATCTTTTGTGGATATCCAATGTATCCGCAGGATATTATAGATATCCAGTGGAATTAATATGGATATCCAAATGTCCGTCTATATCCAGGATATAGAATATATACTATGGATATCCAGCAAAATATCTAATGGGTACCTTTAGTAGAGGTTCATAAGTAACCAAAGGATATTTCCTATAGACGTTTAACATATCCAGTGTACATCCATTATTTGATATATTTAAGATATCGAAAATTATATGCCTATAGGTTGTCGTATTTAATGCTTCATCAAATTTTATTTAAGATAATTGACAACGTACTGCATAATCTAAAAACATTCCATATGAAGAAAATCAGCATTTCAGTAGCATAACATCGGAACGCCCTGTATTTTAAATTTGGTTTATACATCCATATAAGGTTTACTATTCTAGTGTTAACCATTTTTGACGCTACACCGCATAGGTATAGCATGTAGAGTAGAAAGAGTATCAACATTTTATTTTTACAATTAAAATTGTACACTATACCTATATCAAAATGTCCTTGAGTATGTGAAGTAAGTTTTAAACTTAATACAACGCAAGAGTTATCTAACAAGTATCTTACAAATAAATCGTATTCTTTATTATTGTTATATTAAGTATAGTTAGGTAAAACAAAGACAAATATGAGCAGGCCAAATATATTTAAAAAAAGTAAACTATAGTATAAACATACTATTATATTAAATAACATATTACATTTAAGGTGACGAATGAACATAGTACCCGCAGCTAAGGAAAACCTAAACCTAATCACACATACATACATTATATATTGGCGCCGCAATTTCAACTGGAATTTTCTTCCTAAAAAAAGAACTATATTTTAAACCAAGCTATACCCAAAACGAAAATGAAGTCTGAAAAAAGTCTTTTGTGCAGAGTGTCACTAATACAATATATAACACTAACTAATAATTTAAGGGCTCGATCTGTGTATATAAACATAACCTAACCTTACTTGTTAAATTCTTCGTGCATGCTATTGAGTACAAGGCACATGTAATAAGATTACCTTAACCAGTAAAAAATACCTCTTTCTAATTAATTATAATAACCATTAAACAATAAAAACCAAACCGAATCACCAACAATAATAATCACACGAAATAAGTAGGTATATTAAGGTAAGTAAAGTAACATCCATCTAAATTATAATAAAATAGGGTATCGTAAAAACGATATAAATTTAACGTACATTGCATACACCTACTTAACAATCTTAATAATGTGAATTTAACCATTGTCTTATTTAACTAAAGTATATCAACTTTTTACACTAATAAATTTTAAAGCTTACTTACTTCCTTTTAATCCAAAATTATTAAATGAAACTTATGCACACGACACAAACAAAACGAAAACAAACTATAAAATGGCCGATGGCACCTGTGAGCTGTGAGGGCAGAAAATATCCGCGCTTGCGCTCGCGTTTATTGCCAATATTTATTTATCTAGTGGATATCTGTGGGATATTGAATACAACTTACTAATTTTAAATTTCTATAAACCATACCTATATACTTTCTTAGTTTTCACATGGCGCGTAATATTTAAGTAATTTAATAATTATTAAATCATTTCACATATTTTCCGATATTTAGGTACATATTACATCCATAAATTACATGTAGTGGATATCCATCATGGTTTGCGTTCGCGCCTAGACTTTGACATACCTATTTAGTGGATATCCATGGGCTATTGAATACACCTTGAAAAAATTTAATTTTAAATATCTAAACGGTACTTTTAGCCACAATGGCGTGATTTTTTAATAATTTGTTGTATAATTACTATTATTTATGGACATTTGCAAGTCTATAAATTACATCTGATGGATATAAAATAGGTATCCACCATGAATTGGACATTCAATGGATATTGGGATGTCCAGTAGATATCCAAAGGATTTGGTGTGCTGTCTGGGTAATAGGATTAAGAAAACTGTTAATTTCGTATTATTTGATAATTCATATTATATATAAAAGAATTATATTTTAAAACATCTTTCTAATTTTAGATTTAATATTTTATAAAATAACAAAATCTCAAAAGTGCCAAATTATTATTGGTGTACTCTAATATATTACATTTTAAACTTAGATGCCCATCTATAGTACATTTCTTAAGATTAACATTCCAACTCTAAAGGGAATTTTATTTAGTAGCGGATTCTACATCACGCCACTACATAGTTTGTTTCAGATATCATAGATAGCGCTGCATTCCTTACAGAACGGTCGGCCCAAAGAGAATCAATATACTCATTTCAATGCGCTTAGCAATGGTGACTCGTTAAATATGAAAATATTAGATTCAGCTGTAATATGCAGTAAACTAAATAACCTTAAATGACTGGCAATGACTATAACAGTTATTTTTTGTGGTATTCCAGTGTGGTAATAAGAAATTTTGGTTGCAATAAATAAAAATCAAGTTGTGCGAGGCGTGTTACGCCATTGGCGTTGCAATACGTTTCACAAAGTTGGTCACGTGTTCATCTAGCAACCAATACGACAGAGTAATGAGTTAAATTACAACAGTCGTCGAGAAAACGTCACTGTCACTGTCGTGTAATTTGTTAAACCAGTTGTGTTTGCATTATTTGTTATTGTTGTTAAAATAACATAATTTATAATAAGGTAAGTGCATTAAAAAGTTACTTAATCAATTAGTTATAGAAACGGAATATGTTGCATGACAATTTAGGGTGTTGTCATTTTTTCGTTACAAGTCGATCTGAAAAATCAATAATCGGAAGTCTTGAGTTGCTTTAAAGATACCTAAGAGGTACGTGATTCACTTTTTTTAATTCAATAATTATGCATAATGAGCAACTACTAGATAATCTAACACTTAAAATGATTCAACGAGTATAAACTAGACGTTGTTATTTATCACACATCCTTTCAAATAGTGCAACTCAAAATGAGATGAAAATGTTTATATCTTATTAGCATGATAAAATGTTAATGTGAGCATATATGCTTTGCTTTAAGTGCATGTTATTTTTGATTAGATCTAATTTTACATTCTTGTAGTGCTTTTCTGGGGAGTTACCCGGAAAGGCTGTAATGGGAAATTTTAAAACGAGAACATTTGCAAATTCAAGGTTTAACCTAAAATCGATAACAAATTTCATTAAATTAGTTTTTAGTGTAGCAAATGTTAAATATACACCTCTAGATCATATTAGAGCAGTAAATATAGTTTCACTTTAAAATTTTAGAATTTACCTTATATAGGGTGTTTCAGAATAAAGTTCCGTAGATCTTAACTAATAAGAAAAGCTAAATACAATTTTCCTGTAAAAGTCCCAGTTTTCATTCTACCGGGTGATAAAGTGAATTTAATAAATAGGTACATAATCTTCTAAATATCTCCCCTTACGGTAATGATTTTACCTTAAAAATATGTACCTATATGTTAGTTAATTGCCATTACTAGTTAACACACTTTCTTTCGATAAATTACGATAACCTATGGGCGTAGGATCAATGGTGATGAGAACAATTTTCATTCTATATTTATAATTATTAATAATTACACTAATGGAAAAAATTAAGGGAACAATAAAATCTCGATTTTTTGCGATTTTTCGAGTGGCTGTATTTTTGACAAAAATGGTCGTACGTAAATGAAGAAAAAGTAGTTTGAAGCTCGAAGTGTCTAGTTTATGGATAAAAAATTTTCCAACCAACAATTAGCACAAAATCCTGATGAATATGAATAGAAAAACGCGATCCTTCAATTTCTTTAAAAATTCACTCACATGAAACAATGAAACGGCTTGATGGATCAGGTTGAAATTCTGTAGCGCTTTCGGGGGAACAATGAACTGTAAGATGCACACTCAACATTATTCATTTTCCCAATATTCTCAATGTGGCACGTGATTTTCTAAAAAACCTCACAAAGACCTGTTTTCCGAAATTCTTCAAAGTCATGCTAGGATGAAAAAAAAATGTTTCTCGTGAAAGAACATGCCAGAACTTTGTAGATAATGAATCGAAGTTTCCGAAACCCCCCTTCCATTTTCTGAGCGGACATTGGTTCCTGAGATATTGATGAGAGAAGAGGAAATGACGCATTTTCGTTCCTTTTCTGATAACTCAGCAAGGAAGGGTCAAAAAAAGGAATTGAAGCTAACTGAACCACCTATCCAATGCATATAGTGGTTATGTCGATAAAAAATTTTTCAAGTCCGTGCCCTAAAAATTAAAAAACAAACTTTTTTCAAAAATTTTCTATCCATGATATTCATCAGGATTTTGTGCTAATTGTTGGTCGGAAAATTGTTTTATCGCAAGATCCATAAACTAGACACTTCAAGCTTCAAACTGCTTTTTTTTTTTTTTCATTCACGTACGACCATTTTTACCAAAGATACATCAACTCGAAAAATCGCAAAAATCGAGATTTTTTTTTGATCCCTTAATTTTTTCCACTAGTTTATTAATCTTAACTTTTATGAAGTAGGTATAAGATGTTCAAAAAGTTTGGATGAAAATTGTTTTTATCACCCTTGATTCTACGCCAATGGGTTATCGTAATTTAACTAATAATAACGATTAACTAACATATACATATTTTTAAGTTAAAGTCTTTACCGTATGGAAAGATATTGAGAAAATTATGTATTTATTAAATTCACTTCATTACCCTGTAGAATGAGAACTGGGACTTTCCCAAGAAAATTATATTTTTCTTTTCTTAATAACACCGGCACACAAAAAAATGTGGCCAGTACATTTGACTAGACACATTATGTATTTCGATGCGCTGAATCCAAAGAGTTATAAGGTTGTAAATTTTAGGGATTTTGTGTACATATCAATATTACTATTTCATAAGAAGATTCTGCGCATGTGCTGACCTGCTGACTCATTAAACATTTATATTATAGTTTAGTGTTTAAAATCTTTTGATGTGAATATGTCCTGGTTACCAATAAATAATATGGTCTATACCTACTCAATATTATGTTATTAGTGATAATTCGGAGATTTTAAATTTTTTGGGGGCTTATCATGATTAAATGTTGACAGAGTTTAATAATCTATATAACACAAACTATATGAAAGAAAACAAAAACAACCAGAAAACTCTAAAAAGCAATGAAACAGAAACAAAACTAAATTTTAATGAAAAGTCATTTATTTTTTTTCGATTTCTTGCTCATCAAATATTCTAATTGTGAATGGATGAGAACCAATCAATTCGATTGGTCCATATATGATGTGCATCTTCGCGACGATATCGACATCTTCAATTTTTTGGCCACTCGAAGTTCTTTCAATGATTCTTCCTATAAACCATTTGTGATCATAATAGGTCGCGTAATATTTTTCCGCTTTTATCTCCATGACATCTTCGTTACAAGTGACATTGGTTTCAGAGAGGGTTTCAATGCTTTCTGCGTAATTTGAATCTTCCTCTGATGAGGTTCCTGAAAGTTCAAAAGTAAAATTTCTTTCAGAAATATCCTGAACTACATAAATCTCGGAATGGTTTAAGGATTGAAAGTCTTTCAAATACAATTTATTAATGAAAATTTGGTTTTCAGTTTCCCCTATTTTGACTGATAACTTCGGAGCTTATTGTAGACTCGTAATGAATAATGTTATAAAAAAACTGACTTTTCAGATTTAATTTTTCCAGAATGCCACCTTTATGTAAAATATACCAGGAACATAAACAGCCGATTCCACGATTTTTCGTATTGATAGCTGTAGTTGGAGCATTTTCTAGGGAATACTGTTTATTTTTATTTGTTCCTGATAGATAACTGAACGACAAAATTCTTCCAATCAGGTATCTGCTAAATAAGCTGGTTGCTAAAGTCGAGGGTAAAGTAACATGAAACTCCCTAAAATTGCCATTATTTGAAAAAATACACCAAACGCCAATAGATACATTGTCAGTTTTCTCAAATGATTTTTGTATGTTTCTTCTCAATGAAGTACCACCGGTCACATTGCTTTTTTGTCAGAAATCTTCGCAGTCTGTCACTGCTAATTTTTTTTTTCTTCTCTTCAAGCAGCCAACATAGAGTGGATTTTTTAATAATCAATATTTTAGACCCCAAGGTCATTTCTACGAATGGACTGTTTTCAGATCAATTTTTGTTCTGAACATGTTTTTCTGAAAAATCCTTTACATTAAGATTTTCCCGTGTGTTGACGATTTCTGACAAATCTAAAATTCTATCTAAATTTTCGGTTCTGTATTCAGCGTCATCATTTATTTGATTTTCTAGTACATTTCTGATAACATTTGTACCGGTATCATGTATATTTCGATCATCGAAATCTTCATTTTCAATATCCTTTGCTACATTTAGATTCAGTATATTCCACGATTTATCCTCTTCACATTTTAAAATTATTCCAAGTTGTTTAGTATCTTCTTTAGGGTCGTTTAAGGCTCTTAATACGTTTTTTTCAATTAAGTCATCATCGAGATTCTTAATATTTTGTTATTATGAAATAAGAGTCATAACACAAAGACGAGACGCATGCGTTATGTGATGAAATTTGCACGGACTTCCACTGGAATTCCACGGACGTCCACTGGTATTCCACGGACTTCCACTGGAATTCCACGGATTTCCACTGGAATTCCACGGACTTTCTCTGGACTTCCACATAATTCCACTGGAATTCCATCAATGTGTACACCATAATTCCAAGGTGGTTTGTCCCTCGTTTAGCCCGAACACCCTCAAAAATTTGAATAAATGGTACTTTTTCGCGATTTTTTGCCATTTTTAGCGGGTTTTTACAATTTACTCAAAATTTTGAGGATGGACCTCAAATTCGGATTCAGCGCATCGAAATACATAACCCTAGGTGGGTCTAGTCAAATGTACTGACCACTCTTTTTTGTGTGCGACGGTGTAATTATTTAGGAACTACAGATCCCCCAGTTTACGATACTTTATTCTGAAATACCATGTATGATCCAGATGCTTCTAATTTTTCAAATTCATATTTTCAGCAAAATATTTTAAATTAATATAAAAATTATTATGACTTGATTAAATAATATTAATTACATACTACATTTATTTCCGATTGGTACGTACATGTACTAAAAATTTCAAAATGTGAATTCTAAAATATTTCCGATTGTAAAAATTATAATGCATTCCTAAAAGAGATATATAAAATATTTTTCAACTTCTGTTTTATATTTAAAAGAAAAACCTATTCAAGAATATAATATGTAGGTAAGCATTTTGATTAGCCTTTTTAAGCTTAATTTGCTCAGTTTTATTAATGCCAAAATCAGCACAAATTTTTATTTATCCTAAATAGACCAGGAAATAGAGTAGAATTACCTGTGAAAAATTAGAATAAATTGATATGTTGGTCCAATTCGATGTTCTGATGATCCCGTTTCATTTACTCCCCATTTTTATTAGGGGAAAACTACAATTTGTTGATAATACTGCGCCAACGGCTAGGCTGAAATAAAAAATGCTTGTTCATTCTCAGGACCGAGTAGGGGGGGGGGGCAGCCGGGACTAATTCCCGGGGCCAGGGCTGAAATGGGGGCCCGGCAGCGGTGATGAGAATTTTTTTGTTAGGACACAAGAGGGGGAAGTTGTTGGCTGAAGACTTTTTTTTTTTTAGAGAAA